TAGGTGTGCCTGCTTGAGCAGGAAGGTTGGACTAGATGATCTGTAGAGGTCCCTTCCAACCTTAAATATTCTGTGAATCTGTGAATTCCGCCCCTTCTTGCCCTCTTGCTTATCACATGTGCAAATGTAACACCAAGATTGCTTGGAAAGAGCCCATGCTGGAGCTGAAATAAATCACAACACAACCAAGAGCAACAACTTTAACCAGAGGAAGAAACTGTTTCTAAGACAGAAGTTCTGGAGCACCGGGAGYCCAGGAGGGGATCGTGGTGCACGCTGAAGGCAAGCCGTGCCGCTTCGTAAATCAGCACACGCTGCCTGCACGTGCCTGGGAGGAGACAGCGCTGAAGAAAGGAGCACCGAGGTGGGCAGCTCCAGAACACCTCGTTCTGTAACTTAAATACAGCCAGAGTAATTAACTCACTTAACACACTTCTCACTTAAACACAGACAGAGCAATTAACTCCGTGGCTGGTTGCAGCATTTCTATATCATCCATATAATCTCCATTTATATTGTTCATTTTARGAATGGTTAGACCAGGTTATGTCACTTCTCAATCAGACAAGCTTCTTCATGGGGAACACTCAGTTCTCCACGGTATGATTAGATTCACCTAGAGGTTTGCAGCCTCAAATGTTAGGGAACTTTCCTAAAATTATCAACAATTTTGCTCTTGGTTTCCAAGATCTTCTTGTTGTGAATGCAAGTGGAAGTGGTGTTATCATCCCTTGGCCCTGAGAAGCTACTCTTAAGACTCAGTCATTTTGTTGGCTATTGCAGTCCAGGATACACTGCCCTCATGAAAATGAGAAATCACTGCCACGAGAAAGGAGAAGATCAAGCCAAGGATATAAGTCCAGCTGATGACWAGTGTAAACAGGCAACTCAGAAAGACAGGGATAGAAAGGCCTCCCGAAGCAGCTTCACAGTATTTACACTTTATCTGCAGACAGAAGAGCAAGCAGTACCTGGGTGTCYCAGGGGAATATGGGCTTCCAGACTATCAGCAACAGGTTCAGACAGTTTGCACCGCTGCTGCCTTCCTGGATTTAGAACAAGTGCTAATAAGCATACCTTGCCATTTATAGCTTCAGTGCATTAGGGGAAAAAAAGAAATCCCTGTGAATTCTGCTTGCATTGTCCTTTTCRGGTCCAAGGTATTTCAGGGGCTATTTAAAGACTGAAAGACTGATGGACAGTCAGAGGGAAAACGAAGGTATAAAATCATAGCCTCGTATTCCTKACATTCATTAGATGAATTGAGGTGCTGATCTGTAGACTGTGAGATTCGCTTATCCCATAACTCATCAGCAACTTAAGCTAAGAACCTTTTAAATTTACTCATATGAAGAAAACGCCCTCCTCAAAGGGTTACTTTCCTCTACCAACAATTCAGAGAAAATAGTGATTATAT